CCTCAGCCTCAGCCTCAGCCTGCCTCAGCCTCAGCCTGCATCAGCCTCAGCCTGCTTCAGCCTCAGCCTCAGCCTGCATCAGCCTCAGCCTGAGTCTGCCTTCAGCTTCGGCCTCAGCCTCAGCCTGCCTCAGCCTGCCTCAGCCTCAGCATCAGCCTGCCTCAGCATTCAAAATGTGGCCAGGGAATGGAATTCTGGGAACTCGAAGAACACGAAGTGGCCTACAGTTTGCTCCGGGCATTCAAAATCATACCCAGGAATGGAGTTCTGGGAAGTCCAAGAGCACGAAGTGGCCTACAGTTGGCTCCGGGCATCCAAAATGTGGCCCGGGAATGGAGTTCTGGGAACTCGAAGACCACGAAGTGGCCTACAGTTGGCTCCGGGCATCCAAAATGTGGCCCGGGAATGGAGTTCTGGGAACTCGAAGACCACGAAATGGCCTACAGTTGGCTCCGGGCATCCAAAATGTACGCCGGGAATGGAGTTCTGGGAACTCGAAGACCACGAAGTGGCCTACAGTTGGCTCCGGGCATTCAGAATGTGGCCCGGGAATGGAGTTCTGGGAGGTCGAAGAATGGAGTTCTGGGAGGTCGAAGAGCACGAAGTGTGTGACTGTTTGCGAAAAACGAGGTTCCCCGGCAATCCCCAACGGCCCCCCAACGGCCCCCCAACACCTCCCCAACGGCTGCCCAGACCCCCCTGTGGAGTCATCTGCTGCTCTCTTTTTACACCACTAGAAACCTATCAGTCTACGCTGTTAGGTAACAAAAACTTGGAAGTGCTGGAACAAGATAGCCAACCACCTCTTCACTTGCCCCCAGAAGCTACAAGTGGGAAGCCTCAGATGACTGTTGCGAGTTCAGCGACAATTCTGCAAAGACGATCAGCGGTGCTAAAAAATAACTCCTGCCACGTCTGCCAGCGTGCATCCAGCGAAAACGCTGCTGCATCGCACCGTGGGGCGAAAGCATGCTCCGCCCTTGCAACCTTGGGCAGTAGCACCATGGTCTGAGTACACTCTAGGATCAGATCAGGGTAACGTTAGCTCTTGTGTTCAAATGCTTCCCTTACGTATTTATCAATATCAACAAGTACTGCTAGCCGTAAATATCATCCGACATGTTTGAAACTGTTCTCTGAAACCACCAATGGTCAGATCCATGCGACCTGTCCAAGCACGTCGTCGGCCTCACATGGGGAACGTAACTGGACAACGACAGCTTAGGCAAACCAGGACTGGTCTCGACAGTGCTCGCCATAAGCGTGTCGCACAACTGCAGGGCGTGCCACATCGCAGTCGAAGTCCATATGGTCTCGAATGGCGCGTCCGTCTCGAAATTGTGAGGCTTCCCTCGACGTAGCGGCTGGCACGAAGAGATGAACATCAAGACGAAGCCTCCGGGCGATGTCCGGTCGTCGGGCCTACCAGTGGGCCTTCACGACAACGTGTCCAAATCTACCAGCAAGGCGCACAGTCTGGCTTCCAGTATATAGAGAAGACAAAGCAAAGCTCGCGGGGTCACCTTCAGTGATAGGTTCGACGTGAACGTGCCGCTCAGAACCCCTGAGGTGTTGGCCAGGCCACTAACGGATGGTGATGATGATGATGATGATGATGCTGATGCTGATGATGATGAATTTGATGATGGTGATGATGAGGACGATGACGATGATGATGCTGACGAAAATGGAGATGACGATGATGATGTTGATGCTGATGACGACGACAACGATGATGACGATGATGGTGATGCTAATGATTATGATCATGGAGTGATGAGGATGCTGTTGCTGATGCTGATGCTGATGGATTCTTCCAGTGCGCTGATGATGATGTTGCTGCTGCTGCTGATGATGGTGACGATGACGATGATGATGATGATCATGATGATGATGATGATGATGATGATGATGATGATGATGATGGTGGTAATGATCATGACGATGCTGATGATGATAACGATGACGATGGTGATGATGATTATGATGATGCTGCTGACAACGATGATGATGCTGCTGCTGATGATGATGATGACGATGATGATGTCAACGATGACGACTATGATAATGATACTGAAACTGATGTTGATGCTGCTGATGATGCTGATGATGATGCATTCTTCCAGTGCGCTCGGCTGCATGAGCCGGCGACATGTAAAGTACAAACTCGGGCGTTACCCGCCTACACCGCTCAGTCGCCTCGCTTGGGGAGCACGGTCGAGCCTACACACATCATCATCACATGATCGTCCTCATCATAATACCTGCTCCCAGCATGAAGGCCACAAGGAGTCACGACGGCTCTGCACGACGAGCGGCTGCACCACTGCAGCGCTACTTCTGCGCAGGAGAGCGCGCGACACGGGGCGATGACTGGCACGTGCGCATGCTCCCGTGAATCCTCCGCCTGGGATCCTGGTCGCCCGCGAGCTTCCCCGCGCCCTGGCCATCCACAGTGAGGCGAAGAGGCATATCTGTGCAGCTAGCGTGCACGTCGTTCATTTCTAATCGTGCTCATTTCTGATTGTGCTCGTTTCTACAGGGCAGTTTTTAATAATATGATGTTTAAACATATCGGATATTTAATACATGATTAATTTTTGAATGCATTTATGCATGAATTCATCGTTGTTTTTAATACTGAATTCCTGCATTCTTAATACATGATCCGCACGCGGAGCATGTATTAAAAACGGCACTGTAATTGTTCCAGGCTCCCTAGTGGCCAGGAAGATGCCCAAGATAGAATAATTAGAAATGAAAGGACCTCGGCCCCCCCAAAACTCAGGAACTTTCGAATACTTAGAAAGGAACCATGTATACCGTCTGCTCTCCCCATGGAATACGCAGAAATCCGCGTGGTGCCCAAGCGATGTTGCAAACTGACCATCTGAGGATGAGAAGGGGTTGGGAGAAGCGGAGCGGAACGGAACGCGCTGGGACGTCCCCCGGAGGAGACGGGCCGTTGCTGGCATGCGCTGGGGGCCGTGGCCCAGGACTCAGAGCAAGTCCAAGACGGGGTTCTTCCAGACGTGCTTCTTGGAACTTCGTTACTCCAGAAAACAACTGTTGTGCCTGATCCAACGCAAACGTATCCGCGGGCACTGCATATTGCTAGGCGACCATCCTTCCCATGATAAGGAGCTTGTGTGTGGAGGGGGAATATATCGAGGACAACTGCGATTATTGCGATGGTGTCGATGCTGGCGATGCGCTCGCGTGATGGTGACGATGCGTGATGACGATGCTGGTAACGATGCGTGATGGCTCTTGTGATGGTGACGGTGCATGTCGACGATGCTGCTGACGAGTGGGGCATCGCAAACGGGCAGTATGCAGCAGTAGCAGTGCATCATGCAACCTCGGCTGGCAGAGCCTAGCGAATCGGCGGCAACAACGCAACTGCCAACAACACGACACACCCGCGATGGCGCACTCACACTGGTGATTGTGTCACTGCCATCGCAGGCAAATACGCGCCACCCCCACTGTCGCCACCTTCACCACCGATCGGTCTCAATATCCATCGATCTCCTTATCTATTTATCAATCGATCTCACAGGACAACCATCGGGACAACCATCGGGACAACAATTAGGGCATCATCGGGACACAATCGGGACACCGTCTGGACACCATCGGGACACCATTGGGACACCATCGGGGCCGCATCGGGACACCATCGGGACAACATCGGAACACCATCGGGACACAATCGAGGCACCACTGAGACACGATCGTGACACCATCGGAACACCATCGGGACACAATCGAGACTCCATCGGGACACCATATGGACACCATCAGGACACCATGTGAACACCATGTGGACACCATCGGAACGGAACCGGGACGCCATCGGGACACCGTGCGGACACCATGTGGACACCATGTGGACACCATCGGGACACCGTCGGAACGCCATCGGGACACCATCGAAGCACCATCGGGACACCACTGGGACACCATCGGGACACCACTGGGCCACCGCCGGCCAACCGAGGGGCACAACAACATTTGGCCTGACTTCGCCCTAGCCACGGCGGGCTCATTCCGCTCGCCCGCCCACGCAGCGTCGCATCGCCCGCACGCGCGAACACGAACATGAAACCGATGACCCGCTGGGGGTCTCCGTTTCACTTCGATATCACCGCCCGACCTCCGATGGAAGTCTTTGCAGCATGAGCCACCCATCTCACCATGTATTCTTGAAATGCGAGTTTCGTCGAGCCGTGCACGTTCACAGATTTCGCAGTCGTGCCTCAGAAAACCTGTTAGTCTGCGCTCCTCAAGTTTCAAACTCCGTCGACGTACATTCGGGCATCTGAAATTAAATCTCCAAGCATGGTTTTCCAAATGACTGTAACAATCCTCTTGACGCAAAGGCCGTACATCCTTGGACCGCCTTCGCAGAGAGTATCTCCTGCACGCTGCCTGAATCTTCAAACAAGAACGCCAAGAATGCATGGTATATGTTTCGCCGCCCACCCTCAACAAGAGCTCCCCACGAATCGCTGTGGACACAGCTGGAATGTTTCCCAACCATCCTGTGTTGAATCGGGTCCTCGTGTTGAGGAGACAGTGTCCCGCGTCTGCTCTCCTCCTCTCCTCCTATCCCCCTCCTCCCATCCTTGCCTCTGCCCTCCGCATTTCATCATTATCATCATCTTCCTTCTCTTCGTCGTCGTCGTCAGCAGCAGCATCAACAACATCATCATCACCATCACCATCACCATTATCATAATCAGCATCACCATCATCATCACCGGCATCAGCATACGCATCATCACCATCGTCATCGTCATCGTCATCGTCATGATCATCCTCTTCCTTGTTACAATAAGCATCATTATCATCCTCAGTATCCTCATCATCATCAGCATCATCACCATCATCATCCTCGTCATCGGCAGCAGCATCAGCATCAGCACCATCGGCATCACTATCAACCTCATCAACATCATCATCATCAACAACATCATCATCATCATCACCATCATCACGATCACCATCACCATCACCATCACCATCACCATCACCATCACCATCATCGTCATCATCACCGTCATCGTCATCGTCATCATCAACAGCATCGTCATCATCATCATCATCATCATCGTCATCCTCATCCTCATCAGTAGTATCATCGGCACCGTCGTCATCACCGTTGGTATCACCATCGTCAAGGTCAACGTCAACTTCATCATCATTATCATCACCCTCATCCGCCCTCTGCCCCCACGCCCATTAGTTTAGGCACACCCCTCAGGCGTTTCGTGGCCCCGTAGGCAGCTTCAAGGAATGCCCAAATGACAAGGATCGCATGCGGCTCCCCGCCTACCGCATGTCCATTTCGGAGTTCCCCTCACAAGTTTCGTGGCCTCGAAGGGAGTTTCACCCAAGGCCCCGGCGGCAAGGTTCGCATGCGGCTCCCCGCCCACCGCATGAGTTCCACCGAAAGCCCCAGTGGCAAGGCTCACGTGCGGCTCCCCGCCCACCGCACATCTATTGCGACACTCATACGTTTCATGGCCCCACAGGGTGCTCCACCGAAGGCCCCAATGTTGAAGTTCACATGCGACTCCCAACCACCGCATATCCATTTCGGCACACCCGTCATACGTTCCGTGGCCCCAGATGGAGCTCCCCTACCGAGGACGATACACACAATTGCGTGACTGACAACTGCATGTGGTTGGGCCCTTCGTCAGGATAATTTTCCACTCGCTACGTTTCACGATCTGCTCGGTATCCACGTCGCATGGTAAAATTTAGGTTGCGGTGTTTGTCCAGTACGTATCCCTGCGCCCGCACGCACGTGATACCCAAGGGTTTGCTCCCAAATGTGTATCACTTCTCATAGCTGGTGTTCAAGCAAATCTAATTTTGAGCTAGAAGAAAAGGAGGAGGAGAAACAGAAAACGGCTGGGAAGGAAAACTGGGGGAACGCAATCGTGCTGATTTTTCCTGGCAAGGATGTGTCCGATTATTTTTGGCCCAAATGCACTTCCCGCGTACACAACTAAACATACGAATGATGCACGAGTCACTAGAACATGTAATCACGGCCCTTGTGCGAACCATGCTGTCCCCTGTCCTCCTCACCAGCCACTGTTCTCCCCTTGGTGCCCCCGCCTTCTATCTAGACTCGAACCCCCCCTTAATATTCCGAAGCTTTTCTCCCCCATGTTAGTTTCTCCCCCATCGCTTGCAGGCTACTTCCTGAAGAAAACCAGCTTCGCTCCGTCCGCGTGCGTCTTCTTTTGCCGCCCTTGCTGCAATCCCCCAACAGACCGCACAGGATGGCTGCAATACACTGAATGGGCCTGTACAAGACAACCTAACGCTACACATGACTGGAAGGATGGGTGTGGGAGAAGAAAGGCATCAAGTGGGAACACAATTGCCGAGTCAAAGGGGTCGAGAAGTTCGAGAAGGAGAACGCGAGAGGGAGAGAGAGGGAGAGACAGAGAGAGAGATAGAGACACACACAATTAACGGTAAATGAGAAGAACCGGGGAGAATTGAGGGGCAACTATAGCACACTAAAATCGTGCAGCAACGAGGCTCACATCATTGTGCGTAAAGCCTCGTCCACTTTGGTATTTGGCGAGTGCAGAAGCGGGGTTAGGGAGGAGTGCGCGGTCGATTCGGAAGATGCGCCAGGGACGAACACCAATGCCACCATCTCCTACTCTGGCTTATGTTGCATCTGCGTGGTTTCTGCCACACTTTCCCACTGGTGCATGATCGAGTCAGGTTTGCGAAGAGCCCTACCATCTCCCCAGCTGCTACCAGCCAAACGCACATGCATCTTTCAGAGCAGGCATGTATTTGTCCAACCGTTTCTGGTACCACCAAGATAATGATCAGGCGCGTAGAAGTTGATACCTCAGCTGAGCAAAACTCGCTGGCACTTTTCTGAAGCGGGTGCCTGGCATCGACTCCCCACCCTTTCGGAAGAGCCACCGCAAAACCGTACGATTGGCCGCCTGACACACCCGAAGTCCCTACTGGCAGGCAGCTCTGAGATGCGGGGCTCAGAAGCAACATCAATTCCGTCCAGAGTGCCTAACACCGATTCGCTTCAACAGCCTGGCTCTGGCTGCACTCTGCTTGATATCCTTCTGGTGTCTTAGACAATGCGTTTGATATCAAGAAGCACGGGGTCAGCCGCATGCAGAGGTCCGCGATAAAACAATCAGGCAACCTACGCTCAGGAGCGCGTTGTCGAGGGCGAGAGAGACGACTTCTGCATGCATTGCGCCTTTAGCACAAACGACAAACGCGCAGGAGCAACGTTGGATGGCTCTGGCGAGCCCCATCGACGAATTACACTGCCACCCCTGCTTAAAAGCGGGACGACCACTGGGAGGGCAGAGAAGCACACGAGGGCAGAGAGGACGCTTTCCGCCGTCGCAGGGGCCCTCTCTCCCGAGGGGGAACGATCGGGGGGGGGGAGCCGGCTCAGGTGGGGAAACATCGTGAAGCATCGACCTGGAATCGGCGACATATCTAAAGGGGCCCCAGGACACACAAATCAATACACACATAACAAGATTCCCAGTCTTTTCCCATATGTTCTGCGGCTCTTGTCTTCCCCCCCCCCACTTCCAATACTTGCTCATGTTCTCCTGGGGATCCACGGTTCATTGTGTCTGTGTGTGTTTTGTTCCCCTCCTGCATATCGTTGACTGATCGGCACGGTCGCACCCTGAGAGCGAAACCGCACGCTCCCGGGCGGGGGGTGGGCCATCGTGCCCCCCCCATCGGCGAGGCGCGGGCGACGGGAGGGGGGTCGATGCGCTCTACAGTCGGGGCGTTGACCTAAGGAACCCTAAATAAGATACGGGGCCCCCTTTTCCCACAAGTTAAACTTCGATTTCCCATCGAAAACCAAAGGAAAACCCAAGGCAAACTGCGAAGCAATCAAGGAACACGGAGCACCTCCCCAACGAAAAGGGTTCCTTCTTCAGGGCCCCGACTGTACCCCCCTGAGCCCGTCTCCTCATGATCCGCGCTGCTCTCCGGGGCGCGGAGCGCGTCAGGGGCGGCGCTGACGCCGCCACAAGTTAACGGGCGAAGAACGGTACAAAATAAACCTTCTCGCCGTCGGGGACACCCGCCCCAGGGCGGCTGGAAAGTCTATACACTTACGGTGGCACCGTCGGGGCATAAACGTTCCAGCCGCCCAGGGGCGGGTGTCCCCGACGGCGAAAGAGTTTATCTTCTACCGCTCTTCGCTCGCTGATCAAGAGGGGGGTGCGGGCCGGTGGCCCTTCGCTCGTGGGGATAATGCCACCCGCGCGGGTCCGGAACCTGGCTGCTCATGCACGTGCGCTGTTATCTGGCCTCTGGGCCTCCGCTGGCCTCCGGGGGGCCCGGAGAGCCGACGTCGCGCGACAGAGCAGAACGACGCCCTGGCGGCAAACACCTTGCAGTGGGGGCCCGGCCACGAGAAGCCTTCCACGAGAGACCCAGCCATGAGACCGCAGGACGTCCACGAGCTTTGGGTGTGGGAGCGTCGCGCCCTCCACGGCAGAACCATCGAGACCCAAGGAAGCCAGGGCACCCTGGAGGCAAGAAGGGTGCTTCTCGGCATGGGCCTCCACGGTACGCATCGCTACGCAATTGTTCGACGGGGGGCCACGCCGGGGAGCCACGAACTGGGTGCCACGAGGGGGGCCTACGATGGGCCACCGACCTCGGGAGCCCAACATCCGTCGCCGCGCACGAGAATATTGATAATGGAACCCAGCAGCTGGGACCCAGCACTTACAAACAAGCAGTTGAAGTAAACACACACACGCACGCACATAAACACACGAATCGCGACTAAGAGCCCTTGATGCCATCCTTCTGCCGCTTTTCTCGGGCTGCATCGACTCGTGAGGGTCCCGGGGCCCGAAGTCGAGCGGACGCGCCCGGTGCGACAAAAGCCAGCCAAGAGGCCCCCCCGACGTTACGATGTAACACAAACATGGGCCCCCAAAGGTCTGCTTCACGGCACCGGCCTCTCATCCCGAGCCGCCTCTTGGAGGTGCTGGGGCTCCGTGTGCAGGCCCCGGGAGGCAAGACGTCGACAGAACTCTTCCGCCGTGCCATCCTCCAGATTCCGAAACCGCGGGCCCCAGAGGCCAGGCTCATGTCGGGCATGTCCTCCTACAGGTGGACCAAGGAAAAAGTACTAACAACTACCCCAGAAGGTCAGCAATGCCGTCAAACCATCGTCCCCAGACATTTTCTTTTTTAATGCAGTGTCTGACTAAAACTGTTCCTCCTGTGGAGCGACATGCCTGACTTCATGCCGCCCTCCAGCTCCCGAAGCCGCGGGCCCCAGAGGCCAGGCGGGGGCCGCGACGCCCCCCCCGCGACCGCGGGCGGCCGCGGCGCGCCGCCAGGCGACGGCCCGGCGCGGGCGAGGAGGGCGGTGGCCGGCGGCCGGCGAGGTGCCCCGCGGGGGTGCCCCCCCGCGGGAGGCCCGGCTCCTGTGCGTGCCTCTGTATGCCGCGGAGGCCGCGCGAGCGGGGCCCGAGGCTGGGCGGGCTCGGGCTCGATGCGATGCTCCAACCTGTGCGGTGGCCTCGACGGCCAGAGATGAATGGGGCCCTGGGACACACAAATCAATACACACAAAGAAAAGAATCCCCCATCTCTTCCCATGTTTTCTGTTTTTTTTTGTCTTCCCCCCCCACTTCCCATATTTTCCCATATTGTCTGGGGAATCGACGATTCATTGTGTCTGTTTTTTTTCCCCCTCCTGAAGAAAGAGTTTCGAGCACCCAGAAAGTACCGAGCCCGGAGGGTCCTCGCGTGTCGGGCTCTGGGAGGCGGCGCTCGGTCGACGCTGTTTCGATACCCCTCTGGGTGCTCGAAATCATTTTTGGGGCCTGGTCCTGAAGTGTACGATGGGGTCAACGTAACTATAGGGCCCTCGCAGCTGTGTCCGTCTCGAGAAAGGCAGAGGAAAGATGGAGTCTATAGGGCTCCGGTCGCGATTCTCACGAGGATGTTGTCTTCGCGATGTCGGATCCCAAAATCCACAAGCGTCCGAAGCCTCGGACAAAACAGAGGCGACTGGTTCAGTACAGTCCACCTGTGTAGGAAGGACGCGCGATAAGGATGCAAGGGCCTTGGAAGCTCATTTCAAAGCTTTTCGAGCGGGGCGTAGCCAACGGAAGTGGCAAAGGATGGACCGAGGGCGCAAGGATGCAAGGGCATCCTTGGGAAAGGCTGCCCATCCTTACTGTGCGGGTTGACTGTATGATACCTTTTCGGCCTCGGGATGCCAAATTCCGACCTCGGGACCGTCCACGAAGTCTGGCCCGGGACGGCCAAGGCTGTCCCCAGGAGACGGCTGGAGAGGTCCGGGGGCCCACGCATAGAACAAACCGAAGCGGCGGGGTGTCTGGAGCCGGGGCGACGCACCGACGTACCTTCAGAGAGGTGTCGCAGGGGCCGCTGTTCCAGCCACAAGACGCGAGACCTAGCCCCTGGGCGTCCCGAGGTGGGCCCCGAGGATTCCTCTCCAGGGCACGGCTGCTCTAAGGTACGTCTGGCCTCCCCTGAGAGGTGCGGCATGTTCACGTCACGATGCCGCCGGCATCAGCTCTTGAAACCGCGTGGATAATTCAATTTGACTGGACGCGGCTTTCAGATACTTAGCGCGGCTGGTTCGGTATCGACCGATTCGGGAGGTCACTGGCGGCGCTCAGCCATGTCCGCCCTTAGGGGCCCTGGAAACGACAAGGCCGTTTTTTTACCGGTTCCGTTTTGCCGTTTTTTTGCCGGTTCCGACGCTGTTTTTTTACCGGTTCCGTCGCCGTTTTTTGACCGGTTCCGGCTCAGGTTCCAATCCTGGAGCCGTTTTTTCGCCGTTTCCGGTCGCCGTTTTTTCGCCGTTCCATTTTCAAGGGGCATTTTTTTGGAAACTGTGAAAAAACGGCCCTGCCGCTTCCGGGGCCCACAAAGTGTCCGCCTGCTCCGAGGTCGCCGCCGAAACAACGCGACGCGCACCTGCCGCACACGCAGATGGCAGCTATACGCCACCACCGTGCCTGGCAGTGCTGGCCGTGGCCACTCTGGGCCGTGGCACGGTGTGGACGCCCTGCTTGCCGAGGCCACGAGGGCCTACACAACATCCCAGGAATGCCCAGGTTGAAGGGGCCCCAGGACACACAAATAAATACACACAAATAAAAAGATTCCCCATATTTTCATATATTTTCTGGTTTTTGTCTTCCCCCCCACTTCCCGTATTTTCCAATATTTTCCTGGGGGTCGACGATTAATTGTGTCTGTGTGTTTTGTTCCCTCCTGACAGGTTGGCCCTGCCAGGCATGGTGCTGCTTAGGCAATTCTTGATGCGCCTTCTGCGGAGAATGGTGCAAGGGGCTCCGGACCGCACCGCATCGCTGGTGCATCGACGACGTCGGGGTGGGGATGACTGGGCTCCGGACCGCCACCCATTGCGGGTGCATCGGCGGTGCGGCGCGAGTCTCCGATGCCCCCACGGTGCTCCTGGCCCCGTTCGGGCGGCCTGCATGCATGGCCTGTAGCATCGCCTCGCCCTCACGCGGCCGCCGGCGCCTGGTCCTGCGCGGGCTGGACGGCGGCGGCGCCGGCACCGACGACGACGGGCGGTGACCGGCGACGGCGACGGCGGCGGTAACGGCGGCGGTGGCGACGAGCCGCGGCGACAGCGGCCGCAGCCTCGCCTCGCCCTACTCGAGCTCGCTGTCCGAGGGCTCGCTGTCCGAAGGCTCCCCGTCGGAGCCGCCGCCGGGCGCGGCGGCGCACAGCAGGTCCAGGGCCACGTGGTTGATCGCCGGGACTCGCGGGGCCCTTCCTTCCGGAGAGCTCATGGGGCGTGCGAGGCCGTCACAAAGGGAAGGGGCGGTGCCCAGAGCTCATCGCGTCGTGCCGTTTTGCTTTGACAGTCTTCGGTCTTCCGGGGCCGTTGCTGGGCCCCGGGACGGTCAAGCAGCTGCCGCGTGTGAGGACGATGCGCTGGTTCCGGGGCAGGCCTCGGGACTTCCAAGGACCCCGTTTTGTGAGCGTTTTTTTTTGTTCGGCGCTTCGACGTTGGGCGGACAGGGGAGGGGGAGGGGTCTGGCTCCGGACCTCTGCTGACTGCCACTGCTCGCAACAGTGCGTCCTATGGGGTAGACCCCGCCTGCTTGAAACAGGCGCCAAAAACAGCCAAGATCTACTCCATGGGGGGGGAAGGGGGGGGTGCGACGGCCCGCGCCGATCGGCAAAGCAACGAATAAAAAGCGATCACATTGAGCAACTCTCGACGTCGGGTGTCTGGGGGCAGGGTGAAGGAGGAAAGCGGCGTTCTACTCCATGGGGGGGGAGGGGGGGGGGCGAGGGCCCGCGCCGATCGGCCAAGCAACGAACAAGAAACCGATCACGCTGAGCAAATCACGATGTCGGATGTCTGGGGGCAGGAAAGCAGCAATCTTTAGGTCGGGCATGTCCTCCTACAGGGGGATTCTGGACAAAAAAAAAGGGAGACCAGAACTATGCAAACATAATCAAAAATGCTCCCCAAAAAACGTCCCCAGACTATTTTTGACTATTTCTGAAAATCCCCCCTGTAGAGAGACAGGCCCGACTTAAGGCAGGATGGTCGAGGCTCGAAGATCGATGCTCTTGGCTGCCTTCGCCCCCCCCCCCCCCCCTTGGGACCTCCTCCTCCTCCTCCTCCCTCTTCTCCTCCTCCTCCTCCTCCTCCTCCTCCTCCTCCTCCTCCTCCTCCTCCTCCAGGAACCTCTGGCGGCCCGGGGAGCTCCAGAGGTCGCCGGGAACACCCGGGAGTCCTCGGGGGGCCCTCGGAGACCTCCGCTTAAGGAGGGAGGGAGGGAGGAACAGCAGGGGAGAGCAGCAGGAGGGGGGAGGGGCAATGTCAGTGAGCATCGGATCGGACCGCATCGGCACGGAGTCGGAATCGAATCGGAGCGGCCGCGCACGGATGCACGCCAACGCCACGCCAGCACCGGGCCGCATATCGGATCGTCGGAGCAGCGGATCCGAGACCGACCCGGCCAGAATCGACATCGAGGCAGACCGGTCTGATCGAACTGGACTCGGGAGCGGCCAAGAGGGGGGTGTCCAAGAGGGGGGGGTGCAAATCATGACCGGCGGCATGTGCGCGGCCCAGCGGGGAGGCCAGGGACGTAATGTAATAAGAAGGGGCGCCATGAAATCTGGGGAGATATCATGGCCCCCGCCAAGATATCCCCCCCCCCCCTTAGTCATCCCCCCCCTCTTTTCCGCCCCCGATGGGCCCCGGGTCGGCCTTTGGTGCGCGGCTTCTGGGAAGCCCGAGCGCGCATATCGCTAATACCGAATCGGAGTCAGCGATCGGGGGGCCCCACCAGGCCCGCACCAAAAGCCACTCCAGCAAAAAATCGCTCGTGCGTGTGGCCGATGGGGGACGATCCTGCCCCTCGCGCAGGCTCCTGTAGACCGGGCCCACGCGCGTCCGCTGAAGGGCTGGGGCTCGGGCTCGCTGGAGGCTCGGGCAAGAAACACCCCACAAGGCGCGGGCTCGCCTGCAGGCCCCCCCCAAAAAGGAGCCCTCCGGGTCGTCCCTCTGGTGTCGGCGGGGCTCGCGCTGGCTCCCTCGCATCATGTAGTACCTGCGGCCGAACACGAAGTCGCGGGGATGCACGCCGTAGACCTCCGCGTACGGCACGACGTCGTGGACTACACACGCGTCCAGGTCGAAGCTCACGCGCAAGCCCTTCCAGGGGCGGATGACTCGGAGGAAGACGAGAGGGCGAACAGGAGTGGACACCGAAAGGAGGGAGGGGCCGCAGTGTTTCCGAGTTAAGGGGTGCCCAGTGGAGTTTCAATTCAGTGGGATTGGTGGGATCTTCTGGGAAGTAAGTGGGCACTCCCTCCTTCCCCCTCCTCTGCTGTTGGCAAGGGCCTCACGAGCAGCGGAATGAGCTTGGTTGGGCAGTGCTCTCTGTCTCTGTCCTTTCACACCTCTTCTTGCTCCTTCTCCCCCTCCCTCCCCCTCTGGTGCACCTTGAGCGGTGTGCAGTTGCAGTAGCAGGAGTAGCTCCAGTTCGGTGTTTTGCGGTTTGATGTGTGTGTGCACTGCGGACAAGCATCGGGGCCTATCTGGGACTAGGTGGATGATGACGTGGTCAGGAGGATAATAATTAATATATGAAGGGGATCTGATATGATGATAATGTTGATGGTGATGCCTATGCTGATGCTGATGCTGATGCTGATGATGCTGCTGCTGATGATGATGACGACGATGATGATGCTGAGGAGGGTGATGATGGGGAGTAGGAGGAGGAGGAAGACGAGGAGGAAGAGGAAGAAGAGGAGGCGGTGTAGGAGACGTAACTAAGAATTGGATCGGATGAGGAGGAATACAAGGAGGAGGATCGGAGGCGGAGCATCCTCGTAAACCTAACGCGTCTCAAGGATGCTGCAGTCCACTCGCCTGTGCCCAGACATCCGGCTGCTCCACTTTGTTCAAGCGTGGGCCATGCAGCTTCGGACCGCTTCCCCGGCTCTGCGCCCCGGGCCGTTTCCTGCGACGGCCCCGAGAGGCCCGGCGAGGGCCCCCCGAAGCCGACCTCGGCCACAGACCGCCCGCTTCCATTTCCTGGGGCGCCGGACCCCCCCGGGTCCCCTCGCCATCGCCTGGACGCCCTTTCCCGTGCATTCGCCGCTCCCGTGTTTTTTTTTTTTTTTTTTTTTTTTTTTTTTTTTTTTTTTTTTGTTTTTTTTCTCGCTCCATGATCCAGGAGGCTATTCGATGGTCCCCGCCGACAAGAGGTGCCCACGTCCGAGCGATGCCAAGCCCCCGCGTCCCCGCCCCGAGACTCCTCACGGGCGCACCCTCCTTCGCCGCCGGCAGCGCGCCCTCTTGCAAAAGACACAGAGGCCCGCGGGCCTGCAGCTCGGGCGGGTGCGCTCCGTCACGACCCGGAGCTGCCCTCCACGAGGAGGCTTCAGAGATGCCAGAGGGAGGGAGGAGGGCCCAGAGGTCCGACGCCTCCCAGCAAAATAATTATGAGGGCGGGCGGTTCTGGGCCGTTTTCGGCCTGGGGGCCCTCGCCAGGCCTCGGGAGCGTCCGAAAACCACCCGGGACGCCAAGCGGGCCCCGGGGGGGGGGGATGGTCTGGAGCTCAGGGGCCCACGCATCGAAGAACTCGGAGCAGCCGGATGACTGGGGAGGAGGAGGAGTCTCAGCAAGATAGGCTGCGAAGACGCTACGGTCCTTGATAACGTAAATCTGGGCAGTGCAGAAGAGGATAATGATTAAGATGGGACCTGCGTCTAATAGTTAGAACTGATTCGGTAAAAAAACTGTGATAAACATTGTTGGGGATTCCGTGATGTTGGCAAAGTTGTTCGGAATGTGTTATGTGTCGGCGATGTGTTTGGGATTCTCGTTACTCGTAGAAGATGTGTTGGTAAACTTGTTGGGGTTCGCTGTACATGTTGGCAGAACTGTTGGGGAACCCTGTATATGTCAGCAACGTTGTTGAGTAATAGCTGGGATTCCTTCGATGTGTTGGCAAAGCTGTTGGGGTGTCTTGCATGGGTTGTGCATACTGTTGTGGCACATCGTGGCTCGACTTTGAGGTTGGATAGCGAAGTGGCCTGAACGCTACGCGTGCTGATCGCATTGCCGAAAAGGGTTTGGCGCTTGTTAGTGTTTGCTGAACGCGCTGGGGACCAAGTTGGCGCAACAATATCAGGTTATTTGTCGCTTGGGTTCGGGATGCATCGTTACGTTCGGGCGCTTGGTTCTCTGGACGCAATGTGGACCTGTCTCAGGACCGCGAACCAAATCTCACACTCTCGGCGTCTGGGCGACGCGATAAGGAAGCCCAGCCTGCTTGGCTTGCTTTCTGCCATGGCTGTTTTGCGCGCCCACCAGGGTTTTCGCAGCCGTACTGCATTATGTTATGTTTGGTCTTTGGTTTTGTGCTGCGGTATTTGCCCCGCTGTAGCGGGCGCTGCACTGCTTGCATTTTCTGTGCAACAGAGCGCTCATCGCCCTCTCCCCTGTTCCTCTCTGGGCCCCAGGCCGTTCCACCCCCCCTCAACCTTGTCCTTCTTCCTCGGACTCCTCGCTCCACTCGGTCCCCCCGCCCCTCTTCATCCTCGGCGCGAGGGGGGCGAACACGAAGAGGACGAGGGGAAGTGGCTGCAGTGAACGCTGCCTTGAATGATTGGAATGGTGCCCGACATCGATCCGACCCTGAAGTCGCGATTGGTTGAGGACCTCGAACGGCACCCCACCATCTCGCATCCAACAAGCCAACTAATCACTTGCCAGCGCACCCAGTCAGCCAGCTAGCCACTTCCCAGCACACCGATTCCATTCGGATTTCAACTCCCAACTCGATGTTCAATTCTTTTTCCAACGCCCAACTCGACATTCGCCCAACTTGAAATTCAACAGGTACCTCTTGGAGCGCTCTTGGGACACTCTTGGGCGCTCTTGGGGCCGTCTTGGGGCTCTCTTGGGCCTCTCTTGCGTCTTGGGGGCCTCTTTGGCGGTCCCGGGAGCCTCTTGAAGCGCCTCGGGGAGCCTCTTGGGGCCTCTTGGGGGTCTCTTGGGAATATCTTGGAGGGGAACCCCAAAACGAACCAAGAACGGAGGAGAAGCGTACCAAGTCAAGGTCGACCCCAAGCTGAATAAGCTCCTGACCATTCTGATGAAGCAGGTCCGGGCCAATACCCAGCAGCTGGCGTGGCTAGTTGCGGCGACCTCAGCACCTACCTCATGCTAGTGCAGAGCAAAACGATTCAAGCCCTGCGCGCCAGCAGAAGGCGGGCAAAGGTCACGCTTCCGGACCACCAGAGGGACATCTCTACATGACGCTTATTTCGACCCTCTGTATAGAGGACGTGGGAGACAAGACGCGGAACATACTCACGGAGCATGGCAATTTCTTGGGCACGATCATCGCAGCTGTGGCCGGCCCTCAAGAATGTCAAGCACCTTGGCACCAGCAAGTACTACGACAGCAACATGGCCAGGCTCACACTCTACCTGGAGCACGGCCCGTGGACGGACGCGGACACGGAGGAGCCCACCGCAGCGCAGCTCCAGCACGCCAAAATCAAGGATACCATCCGAAGGGCCCTACTACAAGTGGGGGCAGTGGTGAAGGAGGGTAAAAGCTCCGGCAGGAGTCATGGAGGATGCGCTCTCGACCTGGCTTGCGGGACTTGGAGCTCAGGGAGGCTGACTGCCTACGCCGTAGTTGGCAAAGCTCGGCGTGCGCGACGCCGTGGAGCCCTGAAGGCCCTGAAGGCGCCAAGCGAAGCGGCGACGGCGGGGGCGAGGCGGTCCGTGCGTTCGAGGCACATGCCCCGCTGAGGCCGCTCTTCTTCTTCCTTCTCCTTCTCCTCCTCCCCCCCTCCTCCTCCTCCTCCTCCTCCTCCCCTCCTCCTCCTCCTCCTCCTCCTCCCTCCTACCTCCCCCCCTCCTCCTCCTCCTCCTCCGCCTCCTCCTCCTCCTCCCTCCTCTCCTCCTCCTCCTCCTCCTCCTCCTCCTCCTCCTCCCCTCCGTCCGCCTCCTCCTCCTCCTCCTCCTCCTCCTACTCCACCTCCTCCTCCTCCTCCTCCTCCTCTCCTCCTCCTCCTCCTCCCTCCTCCTCTCTCCCTTTCCCTCCTCATCTCCCCCCTCTCATGCCCCTCCTCCTCCTCCTCCTCCTCCTCCTCCTCCTCCCCCTCCTCCTTCTCCTTCCTCCTCCTTCTTCTCCTTCTCCTCCTCCTCCTCCTCCTCCTCCTCCTCCTCCTCCTCCTCCTTCTCCTCCTCCTCCTCCCCTCGCCCGGACTCCAGAAGGAGGCGCCTTCCGGGGGCGCGAGGGCGCCAGCTGCCAAGGCCGCTCCTCGGCCGCTACAGCGCGAGGCGGTACCGCCGCCGCACCGGGCGGGTCCGCCGCCGGGGTGTCGCGGCCGCGGGGCGGGCGGGGCTCGTCGACACCTTGGGCGCTTTTGTTTTTGTTGTTGTGATGTTGCTTCTTCTGCTTCAGCTTACGATTATCTTTCCTCCTCTTCGTCTTCTCTCTCACGCCCTCGGCCCTTCTGCTGCTGGGTCCCCCGCTCTGAG